GATTTCTTTATATTTAAAACACTTATATTACATTATTTATAATACAAAACAAGATATTAGTAATACAAATAAGTCCAAAACGATAGCAAATACATGTCACCAAACACAACTGAAAAACATATAGAGATATACGTTCGTACAAATTAAGTAGTTGATCTTCCCTGATGCCAAATCTGCTAGCTTACGGTCTTCTACTATCTGAAAAAGGTTAAAAACTACAGAATGAACTAAAAAGCTCAGTGTGCTCCATACAGTATAATAAAAACATACGGATAAAATCTTTCAATGAAATCGGTTTATGCAACATGTTTTTAAAACATGAACACTACCCCCATCCGTTCACATCATAATTGTGTAGGTTCCCCAGAACCATACACCCAACCGCACATGCCATTTAGACCCTGAGCACAAAGCCGAGAAGTCTGCAGATAATCTTCCTTCAACAATACCCACCCAAATGACAATGAATGTATTCAAATGAAAACAATGATTAATCACTTAAAACATAACAAATATTTCATGCTTAAAAACCATATGCAGAAATACGAAAATCAGAATTCAAATCAATAATTCAGATATCAGATAAGCAGATCTCAGAAGTCGGTATGAAATACCTTAATTCAGAAATTATATCAGAATATACAGTAAATCAGATATCAAGTATTCGGTATTCAGATAAATCATTTAAATCAGTAATATAATACTGTTAGGAAACACACCTGTAACAGTCTGAGAAATCGGATAGGGAAGCCTACTACTGGATTTGTCGATCACGCTCTGCTGCAGCGCTAGATCCTACGAATTGGAAAAATCCTTATTGGAATTCTAATAAAAAAAATAATCTTAATCTTTACTTAAATAATATACGGAAACCTACGGGCAGTTCTTGTAATACGCGGTTCGGACTGATCTGACGAACGGACAACACCGGACCTGACTGATCCTTGCTCAGGTGAAACACGAGTACCTTCATAAAATATCTTACTTAATCAATTTCTTAACCATATATCAAAATACTAAAATACTAAGCCTTTTTAGGTTCACAAGCTCGATTCGGGAATTTCGGGTCAGAATTTGGCAAAACGGACTTCGGAATCAAACTCAGGACGTCGAAAAACATAAAGTATGACCTTCCGAAATTTCGAATTCTCGGTCAAAATCAAAGTCAACGGGTTTGACTGACGATTTGGAGACTTCTGAGTTCGAATTTGGTGAAACAGACCCCAAAAACGGATTCGGGACGTCGAAAACTGTCAGGATAGGTGTTTTCGGAAAAGATTAACGATCGTTTAATAGCCGGTCAAAGCCGGTCAAAGTTCTGGTCAAAGGAGGTCAACAATCTGTTGAACATTTTACACAAATAGCACCCTTTTTCTAATTATTTACCAGAATAGCACCAAAACTGAATTATTTACCAGAATAGCACCAAAACCGAATTATTTACCAAAATAGCACCGGTCAACGGTCAACGGTCGGGTCGGGTCAACGGGTCGGGTCAACGGGTCGGGTCGGGTCAACTATCGGGTCGGGTCGTGACCGGTCAAACCGGTCAAACCCTTAAGAAAACCGGTCAAACCGGTTTTTTTCAAACATTCACTCGCCCACCGGCGGCGCGTGTAGGCGCGTGGGACGTCTTCCGGGACTCTAAAAATTCCGGAAAAATTTCTAAAAATTATTTTCAGTGATTTCGAGATACTTACTAAGATCGGTTCAAATTTTTGAACGGCGGAGAGCTCGATTTCATCAAATCGGAAACTTTGACCGCTTCACCTCCCCACGCGCCGCCGTCGACGGAGATCGAGGATGACACCGGCGAACTCGGAACGGCACAAGGAACACGATGGTGCGGGAGGTGTCGTAAACGGAGCAACGATCGGCGATGAATTTAGGATTTTCAAGGCGATTGAGCTAAAAAAACGTCGATGCTTTGACTTGAAATTCACGACGTTTGGCAGCGTTTGGCTTCAATTAAATTGAGGGGATTGTTCCTGACTCGATAACGAACACGATGGTGCTTTCAAAACAACGATCGGAATTCAGACGGCGTCGGAATCGGGGTCGGAAGTTGAGGCAAGGAAATGGAAATTTGGGAGGAATTGGGTTCTGATTTTCAGAACCCAATTCACGCATAAATCATATATATAAACCAAATACCTAACTTTTTTGGGTAAATTCAGGGCTTGGTCCCTGAATTTCCTTTAACTCTAAAACAAGCTTCAAGTTTTAAAATCTTTCAATTTAGTCCCCAAATTTTCACCAATTACACAATTAAATCTTCAAATCCCAAATTAATATTATTTGAAATTTTCGGGTTGTTACATGCTGTGCAAGTAACTGAGCTTGCTGTGCAAGTAACTGAGCTTGCTGATGGCATTTCCATTGCTTGCACTATCAATCACTCTGTTGCGGATGGTTGTTCATTTTGGCATTTCTTTAATTATTGGTCAGAAATTTCTCGTGGTTTTGATTATTTATCAAAGCTTCCCATATTTAAGAGACCAGTTATTGATGATATAAATTACCCTATTCGGATTCCTTTAAAAAAGGAGCAAATTCAAGAACATTCCTTTCAAGCAGGTAATTTGAAATTAAGAGTTTTTCATTTTACAAAACAGAGAATCGTGAGAATGAAAGGAAAACTTAATGATGAGATGAACGCCAACAAGATTTCGTCTCTTCAAGCACTCTTGTCTCTAATTTGGCAATCCATCGTTCGAAATAGGCAGACTGATCCAAAGCAAGAGCCAAGAGACCATGATATTCTTAGTAATTGGTGTTAGGAAAAGAATGCAGCAAGTACCAGAGGAGTATTTTGGAAATGCAATTGAAGGTGCAATGGTGAGTTTGAAAGCAAGAGAGCTGATGGAGAAGGGGTTTGAAAATGCTGCATGGGAAATCAACCAGATTGTTGCGAATCAAAGTGAGAAAAACTTGAGGAACTCATTCAAGTCATGGGTAAATAAACCTTTGCTGTTCCAAGCAGGGAAAATGATGAACAATGCTTTGTTAACTGCAAATTCACCAAGTTTCGATATATATGGGAATGATTTTGGATGGGGTAGACCGATTGCAGTAACATTTGGGGCAGAGCTCAAGATAGATGGGCTGTTGACCGTATCCACGGGAGTTGAAGTTGAAGGAGATATTGAGATTAGAGTTTTCCTGTCGCCTGAGACCTCACAGGCCATGGAAAATGATGAAGATTTCATTGCTGCACTCAACATATGATATAAAAATGAAAATAAAACATCTTTTCTTGATTGTCTAATTGTCTAATCCTTCCTACTCTCACCTAAAACATGATATAAAAAATCAAATGGATTGCCGTTTTTCTTTAACGTCTTTAGCTAGACTTAATTACCTCTTAACTATCTTGTGTCAAGAAATTTCATGATTTTTTTCTTTACCACCTCCATCATATGTGGTTGTAGCTAGTGTTGAGCTCGTTTGTTGTAACCCCTCAGACCGATATGAATAGCTCGATCCGATATGGAGTGTCACATTAAGGCCATCGGAACGACTCACAGTAAAAACAAAAGAAAATTTAAAACTTTTCTTAAAACATGTAAACTCATAAAATCATTTATGAATACAAAATAAAATTTATCAGCATTCGAAATAAAAATAGATTTTCAGACTCGTATATAGAACAAAATACAATTACATGCCCCCTAATCACATGTACCATACTCTGCAAGCAAGGCCGGAAGAATTTCCTTACTGATGTCGATAGCTACACTGATACAATTCTTTTAACCTGCAATGGTGAGTAATAGAGTGAGTTTCGAAAAGCTCAGTAATACAGAACTACCAGATGTTGCTACATGACATGCAGATAAATGAAAAGCCATATAATTTCCTTTTTAAATCAGACGTACACTAGTTGCGGAATAATCTGGGGTTCCATTAGTAGTTCATCGAGTTAAAGCCATGAAGATCACAGTTCATAAGAAGTATTCAAAGTATGACATTTTCAGGAGATCGAATAGGATGTCTAGTGTGTTCCAATCAAAACCAGTGAAAAGATATAAATCTTTTAAAACCATAGTTGAACCCCCAACCAAACTCTATTATGCAGTTTCCAAGAACTGCATCCATAGGGTTTGCCCTCAGCACACAGCAAAAGGGGAGCCAACCTAAGGATATACCTTGGGGCCTTGGGTCTACCCAAGGACATCCTTAGATCCGTAGGGTTACCTTAAGCACACAGCAAAAGGAACCAATCTAAGGATATGCCTTGGGCCTACCCAATGGCATCCTTAGATCCGTAGGGTTACTTCATGCACACAGCAAATGGAACCAACCTAAGGATATATCTTGGGCTTACCCAAGATATCCTTAGGTCCGTAAGGACTTACAGCCGGATCAGGGCTGTGCCTCCATACTCCAGATTCCTATCCATATAAAAATCCAGTAGAAATCAGTTTTGTTCGTAAATCGTAATACATGGATCGTGATCCAGTTATATATCATAACCGAGATAATAAAATAAATTGTATAACCAATTTTCACCTGTACACCATAAGTAGTCAAATGATTAACCCATGGAGTGCCTTGGGGCATGAGAGCCTACCCAAGGATCACCTTAGGTCCATAAGAAATTTCCAGCTTGATCAGAGCTGTACCTCCAATCTACCCATATAATATCTCAATAAAATAATTCGAGTAAAATCAAAGAAACATAAAACCATAGTTCATAAACCAATAGTTTCAGTGATTCCATAAATCAGAAACAATTCATATTTCTCGATAAAAATCATAGTCGTAAATCATATATCATGTTGTTATGATTCATAATCCAATAAAATCAATACTTGTGTTAAAACTCATTTTAAAACGTATAAAACCGTCATGTAATACATATGGAACACACTAGAGGATCCAAGTATTTTTCAGAGGCATTTTGTAGTTATCAGTAAGGATAACTTGAAACTCGGGCAATTTGATCGGATTCCAAAAACAAGGTCCTATTGGAGAAAATCAATTACTAACCGATCTAATCAGACATTTACGGCAGTTAACAAAGCATTGTTCATCATTTTCCCTGCTTGGAACAGCAAAGGTTTATTTACCCATGACTTGAATGAGTTTCTCAAGTTTTTCTCACTTTGATTCGCAACAATCTGGTTGATTTCCCATGCAGCATTTTCAAACCCTTTCTCCATCAGCTCTCCTGCTTTCAAACTCACCATTGCACCTTCAATTGCATTTCCAAAATACTCTTCTGCTACCTGCTGCATTCTTTTCCTAACACCAAACATTAAGAAAATCATGGTCTCTCGCTTCGGATCAGCCTGCCTATTTCGAACGATGGATTTCCAAAACAGAGACAGGAGTGCTTGAAGAGACGAAATCTTGTTGGTGTTAATCTCAGCATTAACTTTCCCTTTTATTCCCACAATTCTCTGTTTTGTAAAATTAAACACTCTTGATTTCAAATTACCCGCTTGAAAGGAATGTTCTTGAATTTGCTCCTTTTTTAAACGAATCCGAATAGGGTAATTTATATCATCAATAACTGGTCTCTTAAATATGGGAAGCTTTGATAAATAATCAAAACCACGAGAAAATTCTGACCAATAATTAAAGAAATGCCAAAACGAACAACCATCCGCAACAGAGTGATTGATAGTGCAAGCAATGGAAATGCCATCAGCAAGCTCAGTTACTTGCACAGCAAGCAATGGTTTTGAAATGCCCTCAATGTTCTTAACTCCATCGAATTGGAAAAAGGTGTCGACGATTTCAGGAACATAGACGGGATCGGATATGCGTAGTTGCTCAGCTACAGCATGGACAAACAAGGCTCCGGCATTGTTGCAGTCAATGAAGAAAGAAGTGGTTTCATGTTCAATGGTGGCAAGGCGACCAGCAAGTGGGGGAAAGAAGTCGAGCGTACGTGAAAGTGAGGTTTTCAAGTGGTGGATTAAGGCGTGTTCTGCTTCATCTGCCTTGGGTTTGGGCTTATGGAAGAACAATCCTTCCTCGATGTAGCTTACTAATAGGTGTTTTAGATCCCATGGTGTTAGCTCTATCCTCTCACTTTCTTCGCTCGCCTTCCCTGCCTGGATCATACTCCACGAAATGAAGCGGGTGTCTGCCATTATATTCCCTCCAATTTCCCTAGAGAATACTCGAATATCAAAATTGAAATTCAAATCTGGGTTGCTTCTTTTACTTGTTCTTGATTAACATTTATGGCTTTCTAAAATCTCCTTTTTGTAACTTTTACTTTCTCAGTTTCATGTTAATGTGAAAGTTTCAGGAACGTAATTATGCATAAATGAACTTTATTAATCTCATAATTTAATTACTTCTTTTTGCTAATAATACATGGACCTCCTACATTATTATATTTGTATAATGTCAAAAATTACTTTAACGTTTGATTAAATAATCATTTTAATTTTTGGAATTTTTTGACCCTAACATTTTAGTTTAGGACAAAAATACATGTGACATTTGATTAAATAATTACTTTAACATTTATCCTTTGTTTTTGAGTATCTTGACCCTAAAATGTTTCATATTAAGACAAAAGTATCATTATTTTAGAGTATTTATCATTTATTGATCAATGGTTTCCACCAATGAAAAATTCCTTTTACCGCGAAATTAAATGCTGGATTTATATGATTGATTTATGCAGTTACAAACATTTAATAAATCAACATTTAAAATGTGAATTTGGATTTCATATGAAAATAAACGGAAGGAACTAACAAAAAAAAAAAACTATTAATGGGACATCATTAAAATTAGGGTGGATAATTGTTGTTCTTGGCAAAGTCAAGTGAAGGAGACTAGAACTTTGGTTATTATCAAAGTATTATTAATCTTAGTTCTAACATATGACTCCAAGAGGAAAATTAAAAGTATCATAAAACCTAATAAATAATAATCATATTTACTCTTGATTACGTCAGTTGATTCAGTATACCAATTCAATAGAAAATTGACAAAAACATCACAAATCGTCTTTAAAATTTTAAAATTAATGATACAAAAACATTCACTAAAAAATATCAACATAGTTTGTACTATATTTTAAAAGAAATATAATCTTTCACCCCTTTTTATTTTAACCTCCCATGAGAATCAAAAGAAAGATGTTTTGTATTTGGCTTCTATCGTCATTGACTTCCTTCACCTTTTGGGACTGGGCAAGATTACTACTTGTTATTTTGTCTTGATTGATTTTTAGTTGTCTTGTTTTGTTATATAGGAGTAACAGCGATCCCAATATCAAACTTCCTTCAATTTCTCCCAAGTAGCCATGCATGTGTTGAAGAACTTGTTCTTGTTTTCGACAATCCCTGGGAAAACCATGAAACTGGATCCTCCTCCTATTGACTTCTCAACAAGTAAGTATGCCAAAATTTGTGTTGAAGTTGGCCTTAATAAAGGAGTCTTGATATACGTGCTTAGGAGGAGCAAAATTATTCATTTTGGATAAATTATTGAAGTTGTTTTCAGTTTTCTAACACAGGAAACCAGAATAAATAGCAGGTGTAATACAAGAGAAGAAATTATATGTCAAAGAAAACCAAACGCTAGTGTCAAGGAAAAAGTTTTCAACTAAGAAAAGTGGACTCTAGTATGTTTGTGTTCATGGTTTTAAGTGTTATGGAAAAATAAATAATTGTTGAATTATTTTTTTCATTTATCAGCGACTACATTACAAAATTGGATGGTGTAAGTTAGTTTGATGTACGTTCCTAATGTAAATGTGACTCAGATTTCATGCAAAATACTTGTATCATAGGTTACAAGTGTATGAGTCTTATGATGCTATGATGACCCAGACTACATCATAGTACTTACTTGTGTTTGTCATTAATAATTGCTTCATAACTTTACTTGTTCGCATATTCATATGATGAATGCATGTAATAAAGTAGAGTTATTTATGTGACACTAAATTTGTTAACTCAGTGTTCAGAATATGTTTTCGTCTGCATGTTCATAGGTGGAGATCGATGAGTTTATTGTCGAATTTAGATATTCTAATCGATCGGGCTATCGTAGTACGTCTTAGATTTTGTAGAATTAATATATTATTGACCTTTTATATACTTGAGTCATAACTCTATTTTGATATTCTTGATATTGCATTGGGATGTATTTAGGAAGTTATTCATCTGGTAAACTTATTGTTATTGCATATGATTTTATTTTTATTTAGATGAATATGCTAATTGAATTTGAGTAAATGATTTCAAAAAATATGAATAATCATTTCGGTAATGTTTAAATCATCTAAATTTAGGATTAATCAGATTAGATTAAACTTAAAGAAAAATGAACCCTAAATTTAGGATGTTATAAAATCACAAGCGAACCATGTGATTCCATGGATAGAGGATATCCAACTGTGGCGGCGCTCCACCGTGGTTGAAGCTTAGAACAAACATTATTAGGAAGGAGATAAAAATCAAAATGACATAATTTATTTGAAAGTTAAGTTTAAGAGAAAGGTGTGTGTATATATATATATTGAATAGTCTGTGTGACTATAATGTATTATTTATTCAAAAATTTCTTAATTAATTGATAATATATATACCTACAAATATCACTGTTCGAATCCATAACATTTAGAGAGAACAATTGCTTCAATACTGATATATATTTTCTGATTGTGCAACTGCCAACTTCAATATATCAGGTTTGACTCCATTATTTTTGTGTTCATTATATTAATATATGATTAACCATCGTTCACAAATTTTAAAGTTCAAATATTAAGGATCAATTTTTTAAACATTAAGAGACGATAAATTTTTTAAATATTAAGGATCAATTTTTCAAACTGTTGTTAGTTGAACCACAGGAGAAAAGATTTCATTGAAATCAATACCTTATTTTTGAGCATTTCCTTTGACCACCAGTCTTGCACGATACCTCTCCACTTGATCATCACCATTTTGCTTGATTTTGAAGACCCATTTGTTTTCAATTGGTTTCATTCCTTGCGGTAGTGGCACAAGGTCCCATGTATTATTTTTATGAAGGGATTCAATTTCTTCTTGCATCGCCATCATCCACAGTTAAGCATCTGAATTGTTTATTGCCTTCTAGTATGTTGATGGCTCACCGTTTTCTGTTAAAAGACAATATGCAATTTTTCCTTTTATAACATAATCTGAGTGCCAATTGGGACGTCTTCTCACACAATCTGATTGACGAGTTGTTGGAGCTTCAGAACTCTCTGGTTCTGCTTCAGAAGAATCTCCTTGTTCTACCTCCTTTTCCACATATATCTGTGTAGTCTCTGAATTTTTAGCGCTATCATCGTCTTCTTTTCTTTGTAGTTTATCTTCTACAAAGATAACATCCTTGCTGATGATCACTTTGCGGACAGTGGGATCCCACAAGTGATACCCCTTTACACCATCAACATACCCCAAGAATTTGCATTTCCTGGATTTTGGATCCAGCTTTGAAATTTCTTGAGAATTGTACATCGAGTATACAATACTTCCAAATACATAGAGGTTTGAATAATCAGCTGGTTTACCAGTCCACATCTCCATTGGTGTCTTCAGTTCTATTGCAGTTGATGGAGCTCGATTCACCAAATAACAGGCGGTATTGACTGCTTCTGCCCAAAATGATTTTTCTAGGCCTGCATCCCTCAACATTGCTCTTGTTCTTTCTAACAAGGTTCTGTTTATCCGCTCTGCCACTCTATTTTGTTGAGGAGTGTTCGCCACTGTGAACTGTCTTTTGATGCATTCTTTCCTGCAAAAGTCATCAAATTCTTCACTTGTATATTCTCCTCCATTATCTGTTATGAAACACTTGATCTTATTTTCAGAATCAAGTTCCACCCGCGCTTTAAAGTTTTTGAAAGTTGAAAACACATATGACTTCTTCTTAATAGGGTACACCCAACATCTCCTGGAGTAATCATCAATAAATGAGACAAAAATATTTTGCTCCGCCTAGGGATGTAACTTGCCATACGTCAGAGTGAACCAATTCTAGAACACTTTTGCCTCTAGAATTTGATGTGTTGAATTTCAACATGTGCTGCTTACTGGTTATGTAATGCTAACACAAAGTAAGTGATATCTTTGTTAAGCCTGGAAGTAGCTTTTGCTCCACAAGGACTTTCATTCATTGTTCTGACATATGTCAAAGTTTCTGATGCCATAGCATTGCAGAATCTGAACTACATGAGGCAACAGAGGCTTCTGCTTCTAGCAAAGTCTCTCCCTTCAGCATGTACAAGTTTGCAGTTATCTTTTCACTTTTCAATACCACAAGCGCTCCACGGAACACCTTCATGATTCATTTCTGTGTTTCAATCTTGCTTGCATTATTATCCAATAATCCGTAGGATAATAAATTTTTCTTTAGGCCTTTCATGTGCCGCACATCTCAAATAACTTTAATTGTTTCATTATACATCTTCAATTTGATGGTTCCCACGCCAACGATATCTAAGACATGATCATTGCAACTATACACAGATCCTCCTGAAACAGGTTCATAATGATGGAACCATTCTCTTCTTGAGGTCATGTGATATGTTGCTCCCGAATCAATGAGACATATATATGCAAATCGTTTTCTTCCTTCCACGGTGATTGATGCTTCACAACATAGAGCATCTCCATCATTTGAAGTGTTTGCGGTATTGCCTTATGGATTGGAGTTTTTATTTAGACTTCAACAATCCTTCTTCAAGTGACCCTTCTTTCCACAGTTGTAACACTTTAAATTCTTCTTGCTCCTCGACTTCGATCTACCATATTTGTGACTGCTGCTTTGGTCACGTTCTGTTGATCTCCCTCTCATCGTTGTCAATGCTTCTGCTTGTTGCAGATTTACTCGTCTGTTTTCCTTTTTCTTGCGTCGATTTTCTTCTTGTAGAATAGCAACTGCAACATCATCGAAGACCAGACTTGTGACATTAATGTTTGTCAAGTTGATGATAAGTTGATCATACGAATCCAGTAGGCTTTGAAGTAGAAGTTCAGCACGTTCTTGTTCTCCTATTTTACAACTTAAAGATGTAAGTTGAGAAAATAAAGTGTTCAGTGTATTTAAGTGCTCTGTCACTAAAGTAGATTCTGGCATATGGAGAGTGTATAATTTTCTCTTAAGGAAAATTTTATTGTGCAGCGATGTGGCCTCATACAGTTTGGTGAGATGATATCATATCTCCTTAGCTGTCTTCTTCTCCTCGATGCTTGACAATACTTCATTTGCTAATGCTAGATGAAAGTTTGCCATAACATTCACGTCCATTTCGATCTATTTGTTGTCATCTGTGAAATCTACCAGCCTTTCACTGATAGCTGCTAGACAACCGTCTTTTTTCAAGATGACCTCCATCTTCAATTTTCACAATGAGAAATTTCTCCCATTGAATTTTTCAATATCAAATTTCGTTGCCATAGCTTCTGTTTCGGATAGTTCCCACTATTTCACTATCGTGAATAGTTTTCTGGAACCTTCAAAGAATGGGTAATGCCTTCTTACTTTCTTGTGTTGGAGGATTTACCTTTTGGTGGAAACCACAAAGACAATAAGCATATATTACACAATCAAATCTGGCTCTGATACCAATTGTTGCGGAAGATGGCTATCGAATAGAGCAAAATCACAATTGATAATTTGAGAAAATAAAAATAAAGATAAAAGAGACATAAAATTTACGTGGAAAACCGTTAAATAATATAGGGTAAAAACCACTTGCAACGGTAGAAGAATTTCACTATGAGAAAATATGAATTACAACTTCTCTCGATCTACCAAGGAGAAAACAATAATAATTATCTCTTGATAAAAAGGAGAGAACAACTCTTAAGAAACTCTCTAAATTCTCTCTAGTATTGGAAGAAAGCCAGAATGCTTTGGGATAGTTTGAAGCTAAATGAGCTAGGGTATTTATAGTTGAAGCTTAAGGACTAATTTGTAAATACCCTAAATTATAATGACTAAAAATGATTTTACCATTTTTTTCAACAAAATCAAACCAACCTTTTAGACAATTTCCAAAAGTTGGAATTGTTTTTCAACTTTTCGATGCATCCACCGAAAGTAACTTTGAATTTTAACACTTTCCGGTAGGGTTGAAAAACAGGGTAATCGTTCAGGTTTCAGTCGGATCCTGGCAGATCGGGTAAAATCGGATACATGTCAAGTCAGGTAAATTTGACACCAGATCCAGATCGGGTTCATGTCAGGTCATTTTCAGTTCGGATCGTTGCCAGTTCAGGGCAAAACAGTTCAGGTCCGAAGCAGTTAAAAAGCAGGTTAATTCATGTTCGGATAGACTTCAGGCGGATCTCGTTCAGATCGGGTCACATCATTGGCAGATAAAATTCAGGTCTGATCTCTATCAAATACGGATTGAGTTCAAATCGAGTTAATTTTTATTTTTGGATTAATTATTTTCGTCTTTCGTGAACGTTGAATTGCAATTTGTAATTGTATATGATTTAGAGTAAATTACTGAGAATATAAATAATCATGGTTCAATTTTATGAAAAATACAAATTTAAAAATTAAATTGAACAAGTATGAAATTACAAATAAAAATTTAAATAAATTAAACAACACACATTGATGAGGGATCAAATCGAAATAATTTTAAATTGTGAGGTTGAAATTAATATAAAAAAGTACTAAATTATACCCATTTAAAAAGTTATGGGCCAATTAAAAAATAGAATTAAGTAATAATAATGGATCAATTTCATATGCAAATAAAATTTGGAGGACTAAATTGAACAAATATGAAATTACAAATAAAAATTTAAATAAATTATACAACACACATTGACGAGGGATCAAATCGAAATAATTTTAAATTGTGATGTTGAAATTAATACAAAAAAGTACTAAATTATACTTATTTAAAAAGTTATGGGCCAATTAATAAATAGAAATAAGAAATAAGTTGAGAAAAAAATAAAACAACTAATATATATATATAAACTATATAGTTTATATATAAAGTATATGTATTATATATATAAACTATATAGTTTATATATATATTATGTATAAAGTATAAACTATATATTCCATGTATAAACTATAATACTATATAGTTTATATATGAACTATTGAATTATATAGAAACTACATAGTTTATATATAAATTATATATGAATTATATATAAACTATACAATTTATATTTATATATTATGTATAATTATAAATAATATATTTTGTATAAATTATATAGTTTATTAATATAAATTATATAGTTTATATATATATATATAGTATATATGGTTTAGGGTTTATATTTATATTTATATTTATATAAACTACATACTATAATTTATATTTATATACTATATTTTATACGATTTATATAAACTATAGTTTATATTTATATATTATATATATGAACTGTAGTTTACATAGGAACTATATATATAAATATATATACTAAGGTTGATATTTATATATGAACTATAGTTTATATACTAAGGTTGATATTTACATATGAACTATAGTTTACATATGAACTATATATATAAACTATATAGTTTACATATGAACTATATATATAGTTCATTGGTGAACTATATACACTATTTATATAGTATATACTATATATATAAACTATAGTTTATATTTATACACTATATATTATATATATAAAAACTATATATACTATATAGTATAATTTACATATGAACTATATATAAAAATATTAAACCATAAACCCTAAACCCTAAACTATACATTATATAGTTTTGTTGAGTTATTCGATTGACGAATATGGCCAAGAGGGGGGTGAATTGGCAATTAAAATTTTGGTGGAAGCTTTTGCAGAAAATTGAAAGTAATTGCACAGCGATTTAGAGTGGTTCGACTTTATCAACAAAAGTCTACGTCCACTACCTTAGCTATCCACACTAAGGATTTTCCAACAAATTCACTAATTTGTTCTTTCTTTTGAGGACAAAGAGTAACCTTATAGCTCCCTCAAGAATTATACCCCAAATTCTTGAGCACACTCTTTTTCAAAGAGAAATACACAAATTTGCAAACTTACAAGAAAAACCTCACAAGGTAAGATGTTTGCACAATTCTATAACAAGAAAAGAACACTCACAAATAATTACAAATGAGCACAAATGGTGTTCTTTGAAAGGAAAATGAATATTGAAAGGAAAATTGGCTTGATTTGCACAAACTTGGTGTTTGATGCTTTCTCTCTTGTTTCTCTATGATTTCTTATTGATCAAAGGCTTCAGAACTTGTTTAAATACACCTTGAATCACTTCTGAACGTTGGGGATGATTAGTGAAGATCATATAGCCGTTTTAGTGTGAAAACAATTAATAAAACAACTTGGAGCGTGTGGGGAATCGGTACCCCCTATGGGGAATCGGTTCCCTAAGTGTAAAATTCAAATATTTCGACCGTTATACAAGGGGGGAATCGGCTCCCTCCGAGCATACTGGAATTCTCGGAGCCAAACCATTCAGGGGGGAATCGGTTCCCTCTGAGCAATCTGGAATTTTTTGCTTTGAAATGGTTCGAAATACTTTGTAAAATTATTTTGAAGTTGTTTTAAGATTAAAACTTAATTTTACACTTGAGTAAGGATTAAAAATGATTTTTGAAAGATTTGGAGCAATGTTTTGATATTCGAATAGTTATATCGAATATACTTAGAAAATCATTTGGAAAATCTTAAAATTCATTTATCTTAATTTGTTATATCGAAATATCAAAATATTTTCAACAATCTCCCCTTTTTGATATAACAAAACATTTTAGTAATTTTAAGATTTTGAAATCAAGTTTTGAAATTACTCCCCCTTACTCTAACACTTCTCCCATTTATCATTTAAAACACATTTAACACTTCTCCCCCTTTTTGTTAAATCAAAAAGACATTTTAGAGAATTTAAACAAGGTTTTGAAATCATTTAGCCAATTGATTATATATTTTAAACTGCTAAGATCACAAGCAAGAGAAACGTTAGCCATTAGTTCCATAATCAATAGTCATAATTAATGTGACATGGCAAAATTGGTCATATTGCTAAAATTATGTAAATGATGCAATAATGAAGAAATCACACCAAATATAGAAGTTCACATAATCAATAAATCCAAACAAATTCAAAATCAAGGAGAGTCGTGGATGACTTTTGAATTGGGATCCGATGAAGGCTCTGCGATGCGGTGGAGGCATAACCTTTTATCTTATTACTAATTCAGGGAGCTAAGAGTGGTGGTGAGATGGAGTCTTCACAGGCGAAGAATCAAGCACTAATGGATGTTGGAGTTGTAGTTCCCACTTCATATGAAGCTTTTGAAGCTGCGATCAAGGAAACGTTTGAGAAACTGGTAAGTTTTCTATCTTGGCTGAAGTCCGTTCTATGCTTTAGTTATATTGACGTACTTGTGTCTTTAGGTTGAACAATGGAAGATTACACCCGTGAAGGAAGTCAAGCCTCCACAAATCCCTGAAGATCTTAACACTGCAATTAAGAGTGGGAAAGTTCGTGCTCCAACATATATTATTTCAACTATCTCTGTGCTTCATTTTTACAGTGTCTTACACCTTATAAGTTTGTTGAAGGCATGAAAAAGAAGGGTATTATTGTGCCAGGAATTGGCCACATGTACAAATGGTTTTTAATGGTCAATATATTTTTAAACCATTGAAAATGCAGTAACCATGATATCTGGTTTTCTGTTATTTCCTGAATATCCTATTACATGTCTAATGGTTGCAAATATTTGCTTTGCTTCGTGTTAAAAGGATTAAGAGAGTGGAGCTCCTCCAACGGTTTGCTCGCACGCATTTCCCATCTGTTAAGTACATGGAATATGCCGTCCAAGTTGAAACATATACGCTTTCCAAGGCTAACAACCTCGTACTCAACGTCGATGGTGCCATTGGGTCTCTTTTCTTGGATCTTCTTGCTGGTAGTGGGATGTTCACCAAGCAAGAGATTGATGAGATAGTTGAAATCGGAGTAACAACCTGCTTTTTTTCTCTCCAGCATTCTCATTTTTCGGAGTCATTGGTGTTCTTCATTTTGGAGGGGTAATGGTTGTTTGATTTTTCTATTAGTGTCTGCAATGCTAAATGGTGTTGTATTTAAGGGGTTACAATGAGAGGGGGGAGGGGGGAGGGGAAAGGGCTTACATCATTTTTTAAACCAAAATTGATGTTGCGCGATTTAGTTAATTTAGTTGTGTCAGTTTCATGGAAAAATAAGAGATGTCCCCCAGGTTTGCAAGTAAAGAAGGAATATACGTTGTATGAGAAACTAGGAATCCTAATGTTGAAATGATGCAATTCACACACTAGTGCTCGTAAAGCCTATTCAAGTTTGACTCGTAAAGGTCATTTATAAATTTTTTGTTTTAGTATTTATAATGTTATTCAAGTTTCAAATCTTTAATAAGTTCATAATTTCAACTAATATATTTTTATTTTAAAATTTCAAGTTAAGTTATATTTAAATTATTAATCAATTTTCACATTAAAAGTAAATTAGATTTATGAATATTTTAACTCAATTTATATAATTTAATAAAATAATGTTCAATAAGACATTATTTAAATTTAATTTAGTGATTATAAATAAAATTTATAATATAAGAATTATAAATAATATAAAGAATTGGAATTAATATAAAAATCAAATTTATAATATACAAATTATAATTAATATAAAAACTAAATTTCAAAAAGTAATAATATTAATTTAATTATCATAAGTTTATTATAAATTTAAAATAACGTAATTATATTAATTGTAACATATTACTTATAAGTCAGGACAATATCAGATCACTTTAATAATATGTCAGATCATTTACAGGTTGAGTCAATTACAAGTCATGTTCATAACAGGTCAGGTTGAAAACAGGTTGGGTAATACCAGTTATTTACCAGGTCAATCTCGAGTTCGGGTTCATATAAGTCTGATGCAGTTCAGGTTCGAGTATCATATTTTCGGTTCAATTCGAGTTCAGGTCGTTCTCAGGTCGGGTACAGGTCGAGTTCAGATCCACAATTTTCAGGTCCAACTCGGGTTCATGTCAACATCAGTTCCGACTCGAGTCGATTTCAGATCGCCACAACGAAGGTCAAAAACAGTTTTAACTCAAGTCGATTTCAGTCAGTTTTATAGGTCATGTCAGCTTTTTACACCCCTACTGTCCGGTCGTCTCGCAGTCGCAGCTCATGGCGTTTTCATCACAACGTGACAGTTCACTGCTTCTAGCCCAAGTAAGTTGCGCAAGATTCATATGCTCTTCTTCTTCTTCATTTCCACGTGGTTATTTCTGTTTTATTTTCCCCCTTCACTTTTCCATTTACTGCTTGGCTTTTGAACGTTTTAGTCAGCAAGTAAAGAAAATATACTATGGAAATTGCAGAACACATTAGTTTCATCAAAGAAGTGACTGCAACTCAACCACCTGAGCATCTGTGTCAGCTTTTAGGAATACTCAATGCAAGAGGTAAAATTTGCTTTTTTTATGATATTGGATTCGGGTTTTTTATAAGGATAGTATAATGGTGCTAAAAGAGTTTAATTTGTTAGTTATTACTCAAGAAATAAGATTTATTTAGGTAACTAAAATTCAAGTTCATGTTTTTATTTGTCCCACTTGGGTTATTTAAATTGTCTACTTATCAAGGTGAAAGTTTTGATTTTGGAATTCTTGGAATAGAATATTGGCTTTGATAGTTTATAGTGATTGAAAACTCTAAGCATCACAACAGGTGAATCAATTCTTTCTCCTAGAGCAAAGCAAGGGTTGATGCCGCTAGCAATTCCACTATGGAAAAACAGCTCGGGTACTGATATAGTGTGATCTATATTGGACTTGGCTATTAATAAGAAATGCTTAAATTGATGCCGTTGCATGATTTTGTTGGTAATAGGTACTATAACTGCATTGCTCAGGTGGCCAACAGCTCCCATTGGGTGAGAAACTTCAAATGCCTGACCTTTTATTAGTTATTAATTCTCTTCAGCCTGATTGAGATTTTTCTCTTTCCTCAGGATGGAAATGCCTGTGGTGGAGGTCTGTAAACATGGGGTTTGGCTTTTGGCCAAGAATGTAAGTTGTGCCCTCAACATGACTTAGCCAATGTAACCATTTCCCCTGCTAGTGTCCATGGCTGGAATTTCATTATATTTGATATATTTAATATCAGTTCTTCGCCATGCCGGCATATCTCCCATACATTGTATTTATTTCACTCTCTCTCAAATCGGTAGACCAGTTTATACACAGAATCCTGGTTAACGAAGATGCCAATAGCTGCCAATTCCGTGATGAGTTATTTCATGCTGCATCCGATGCTGGGGATAAGTTTTATAAAAGGGGTGACTTTTCTAAATCGGGGATTACTGATATTGATGTCTATCTTTTAAGAAAGGTATCAAAACTATATATTATTTTCTGTTGCGCTTTAGTCAGATTTCAGCTATATGCTCCATATTGTAATGATGATGACCATTTTAGGTTGGTTTATTTCCCGATGTCCTAGAAAGATAGTGATGAGGTACTTTGAGAAAGTAGACCATGTAAGCCTACTCGACTGCTCTAGCTATTAGAACACTGTTAATTTCTGCATGCAAATTAACATTGTTGCTTTTTTATGTACCTGCATGTAAAAGGTTTCAGCCTTGGTGACTGGAGAATTCTATACTGGGAAAGAGCATTTTCCAGGATTCGCAAGGCCTTTTGTTTTCAATGCACAACTTTTACAGAAGTAGTTAAAATTCCATATACTCGTGTTTTTTCTGATATTTTTAACTCACATGTTATGCTAAAGTTCTTCATTGGCATTTTAGGGTTGGGCGTAATCTAGAAGCTAAAGATACTGCGAGGGGGGCCTTAAAATCCCCATGGTGGACTTTAGGTTGCAAGTATCATGTAGGGGAACTGCAGATATTCATTTTCATGATCTTTCATCTTTCTTTCCGTTTCAAAAATATAAATAGAACTTATCATATTAAAAAGTTGCTATGTCTCCAGGAAGTTGCGCGTGTAGCAGAATGGGAGGATGAGCAAATTGAATATAGAAATAAAAAGTTGACAGAAGAGAGTAGGATAGAAGATCTAAACAGAGGAAAGCCACCTTTCCAGGTTTGTAGTTAATACATACAATATTTATTAAGCTTAATATCGATGTTAGAGGTTTACGTTGGCTATTGTTTCGTTTTTCTTCTCACCAATTCTCTTACTTTTGTGTATGATCCATACCGTAAACAAAATCTGCAGATCGCACTGGATGAAGCTGCCTTTTTGTTGGATTTAACTTCTGTGGAAGAGACTTGGGATAATTCTCTGGAGCAAATTGCTGATTGTTACAAGGAGGCTGGGCTCCATGATATGGCTAGATTTGTGCAATACAAAGACTGATTGCTGAGGCATGGGAATTTTGTCTGCAATATTTGGATCTTCGATTTTCTTGGTATTTTTTATTTCATAAAAATCATTGATGGAATCAGGGTTTGATTGACCTCATGACTGTGAGCATGTTTTGCAACGGTTGATCTTAATCTACAACTGAGAATTTATACCGTCCTTGTTAGTCAATAAACAAAAATGAAGATTCCAAACTGTTAACAAATCCAGAATATTATACTCTCTTCCCGAAATTCTTGGCTTTGTTGAAAGTGTCAAGCATATATTATACTTATAAAGACTACAAACAAGGTATTCATTCAAGCAACCGTAGAAAAGCCAGAATTTTATTCATTACCACACAAGAGAGAAATAAAAAATAAAAAAAACCGTGACAAAAGCCTTAGATCTTCCTGATCACCACTTTTGTATTTACGTCTATGCAGCAAATGGCAGAGATGTTTTCTTGCTCTTACTTTTTGTTTTTCTCCACGAGCTTTTTCCATAAACTCCCACCTTGTTTTTTGCTAGGAACAATTGGTAAAGATTTCACTTCAGCATTGTCATCCTGGTGTTTATCTCCATTTGAAACAACGATGCTGTCTAGATATGGTATCGTCCTGTTATAAAGGAATAATGAATCGGGATCGATTTTTTCTTTGGTCTTAGGAGACACAAGATCATTTGGTTTGTCATTATCTTCAGCTATCATTTGATCTAGTAGAGATGATCTTTGGCTCGTCAACGTCTTCCTTGATGAAGTTGAGATTGCGGTTGAAGTTGGAGTGATGGTCTCAGTTGGAGCGGGGACAACCTTGTCAAAAGGGACTGCTTCCTTTGGAGATGCCAACGCCTTCAACTGCTTTCCCAAGTTTAAAATAGTCTCTTGGAACTCAGCCAACTTTTATGAAGCAGCTGCAATCTCCAAGTCCTGGTAGGTTGATCAAGAGTCCAGAAAAGTTTGCATGTTACATATCAAAACCGCCCTAGTAATAATGTCGAACAAAATTATGTTATGCTCATATGCATGACATGGACTTACAGTTCGAAACTGATTCTCTAGCTTCTTGATTTCAGAGTTTGGGATTTCCTTTTCTGTCACACTGAAGAAAACAAAACATCAGCTGCATAAAACTCTCGACGCTTTAATCAAAATCGATCATGATATTAGGTTTAGAAGACAAAAGTTGATATTACCTGTCAAGACATGTGACCTCTAGTTCTTCATGGCGGTAATTTCCCCCCT